GCCTTTCTGCTCCTATGATGCTGCTTGGCCTGCTGTGTTCATCCAGCCCTGCACCTTGTTGTCTTGAACTTTACAAATGTCAGGCCATTATGAGTTATTCTGGAGGACAGTAATAAAAATCTCTCCTAAAATGAATCAGGTGTTGCAACTGAATACTGAGGAATTTTCAATCAGTGGAATTAGGAATTAGAAAACATTTCAGATAGCAAAAGGATAAACTGACCAATGAACTGGACATATCGAATATGATATCCAATTAATCGCAGGCTAAATGAAGCAGCAAAAAGTCAATACCTACCCAGCTCTCTGCTTTTTGGACTTATCTGAAATTCCATCTCGGGACATGAGTTTGTTGAATACTATGATCCCAATGAGCATGTTTACCTTGTGCAAGAAACAGAGAATTAGCAAGGACTCAAATAATTGTGTAATCAGTTTTCATCAAGCAGCAGTCCTCATATCTATTTAATAGCGAAAGCTACATTTTCTCTGAGAAACAAAACATGTACATGATTATAATTTTTAAGAAAAGTCCTGGTTTGGACTGTTCATCGATTAGAGGAATGTCTTAGTATGTGTCTGAGAATTCTCAGAGTGTAAACCAATGTGGGAATTAAAGTTAAGCTTGATAAGTGGCCGTTTGATCGTTTGGTGTTGATATGAAATTGATGGTTAATTGATCAACTATTTTGAATTGAATTGACAAGACCAGAATACTAGTTCACAGGTCAATTCAAGTATCGGCCACTTTTAAAAGATCCTAACAAAAGTATAAAGATTTCCTTTGGTTGCTTTACACAGAAACATTCTCGTAACTGCTAGTAGATTTTCTCTTGTCAGTCATTCGCAATTTTGTAACCTATTTTTCTTGAACATGTAAATTTTGTTTTGGAAATTTGGAGCACAGAAAATATTTTGGTATTTGTTTAAAATTAGTTAGAAATTGCATGCAGAGCAATATATAATCATTGGTGTATAAGTGAATACACTATAAACGAATCCAGAAAAGCTAACAGCCAACAAAGACAAGGAGATGGAATTGCAAACTGAATAACTTCCTATGGCATCCAAAATATGGTAGGCATAAATGTAAGTTTCTCGATCTGATTCTTATGACTTCCTGAAGGCATCAAGGTAAAGTTTAGCATTTGTCCAGATCATACAGTTAATGTTACATGTTGCATTAAAAAGTAAAATTTACCAATACAATTATTGCTGCTGGTCCAACAAATGCATAAAGGAGGCCTCCTTCCAAAGACAACCAACAGCTGTGAGTGGACAAAAAAACAGAGTCATTTTCAGAGAGACATACTTGTCATTGGGAAATAAATACATGGTGTTTTGTTAAACTACAAAGAGTTATGGCAGATAGAACAGAATAGAATATCCTTTCTTGTCACTTGTACTACAATACAGAAGTATAGGAGTACAGTGAAAAGTTTTTAATATGGCTGCCTTTTAATGGCACCGTCTTAGGTACAAGTACCTAAGTACAAATCTTACGGAGTAAAAAAAATGGTCTTACACAAAGAGGATTAAAGGGAAGCATATGCATTACTGACAGAGGTAGTTACAACACAACGAAAAGGCTTTAAATTACAGTCTGATAACAGCAGCTCAGCATCTGGCGCCAGGCCCAAGTCCAGCAATTGTCCCACATCGCTCTATCCTCCAGTCCGCTCCTCACCGGCACTCAGCAGCAACCAGGTAAGTCACACTCTACCGGGATTTGTACCTTGGTACCTCCATCACTCGGGACTTGGCCCACCGGTGCTCTGGGGACTCGGCCTCTCCGTTGCTCCGGGGACTTGGCCCATCCGTCGTTGCCTCGGACTGTCTGCTCCCGCTTGTGCCGCCAGATCGTGCTCACTGCTTGTGAGATGCTCTGGGGCTGCTTCCCCATGTGCTTTTACAGGACTTGACTCAAACTTTCCTTTTTTTTTCCTCTCCATTAGAGGGTATGTTTCCTATTCTGTCCATCAGCTCTACTCCAATCCCCTTGAAATAAAGGCTAACATGCAATTTACCTACCTAATCTCTTGCTGTAATATTAGGATAATTTTCCTGTGTTCCTGATAAAAGAACCCCCTAATCTCTCTAAACATCAACATTTATACATTTAAAAATATTCTGTTTTTCTATTCTTACTATTAAAGGTATTGATCTTGCACTTCTTCAATTGTCAACTTGTTGCTTACTTACATATGTATATATATATTGTTCTTAATCTATCTATATCTCTTTACAGTTCTTTGGATCCTAGATTTTCATCATCACTCTCAGTCTTTTTTTCATTAATATGGAAGTGGTATCTTAAGATTAGAAATAGCTGATGCTCCTCCATCTACCCTAGCATTGAGATAACAAGATGTAGAGCTGGATGAACACAGCAGGCCAAGCAGCATCAGAGGAGCAGGAAAGCTGACGTTTCGGCCTAGACCCTTCTTCAGAAAAGACACCTTGTTATCTCAGATTCTCCAGCATCTGCCGTTCCTACTATCTCTGAAACAATTTTAACACCCTAGCATTGATCCCAGTTACACTCCAATAGTTGCATCCTGCCAACTTAGAAATGCTTAATTATGCCTCAACTCTCTGTTTATATCCATTAACCAATCTTCTATCCAGTTAATATATCACTTCCATCTCTGTGCTCCTTTATTTTGTGTATTAATCTTTTATATGGTACTTATCCAATACCATTTGCAAATCGCATTTACAGATGCCCATTTATCCACCCTACAGGTAACATTTGCAAGAAATTCTAATCAATTTATGAAACATGATTTCCCTTTTGTAAAATCATATTGATCCTGTCTGATTATACAATGACTTTCTAAGTGCATTGTTAACACTTGCTTAACAATATTATAGAATCCCTACAGTGTGGAAACAGGCCATTCAGCCCAACAAGTCCACACCATCCCTCCGAAGAGCATCCCACCCAGACTCATTCCCCTACCCCTGATTTCCCATGTCTAACCCACCTAACCTAAACATCCCTGGGCACTATGGGCAATTTAGCATGGCCAATCCACCTACCCTGCACATCTTTGGACTGTGGGAGGAAACCGGAGCACCTGGAGGAAACCCACGCAGACACGGGGAGAATGTGCAAACTCCACACAGACAGTTGCCCGAGACTGGAATTGAACCCGGGTCCCATGGCACTGTGAGGCAGCAGTGCTAACCAATGAGCCACCATGCCACCAACAGCATTTTATTGCAGCATTTTATCAAAACTCGTTGTCAGGCTCTGAAAATTCTGTCCACTATGTTTGTTCTGAGGGAAGGTCATTGATCTGGAACTTTAACTGTTTTTCTCCTTCCACAGATGCTGCCTGTTCTGATCAGTTTTTGTTAGGATTTTCTGTATTTGTTTAAGAATTCCAGCATCTGCAGGATTTTGCTTTTGCATTCCCTAACTCTGCAGATATCTCTTTTAGATCATTAGGCTACAGGGATTTATCAGTTTTTAGTTTCTTTTCTTTCCCAAATACATTTTCTCTTCTGATGTTAATTATCTTAAGTTGTTCACTGAAATTTGTGTCTACTGTTCTGAAAAGAGACACAAAAAATTGTTGTTCAAAGTCTGTTTCTTCATTCCTCACGATAAATTATCTTGTATCAAAGGGATTAATGTTGATTTAGCTATTTTCATTTTTATAAATCTGCAATAACTCTTACAATCTGTTTTTACATTCCTGGTTACTTTATTTGCATATTATCTTGACCACTTTTGAGCAACGTTTTGGTTACACTTTGCTTCTAAAACTCTCACAAACCTCAAGTTTATGCCTGTACTTTGCAACATTATATGGCTTAATCTAATTATTATCTCTCATTTCTCTAGTAAGCCACAGATAAAACTTTCTCATTGAGTTTTTAATTATTTAATTGAACATTTTTTAATTGCTTCTTAAAATGCTCCTACTGTTTATTTGCCACAATATCCTTTTGTCTATTTTCCAATCAACACTGGTCAGCTGACCTTGATGCTTACATAATTGGCTTAAGTTTTTGATTCATGTGTGCAATAGGACTATACTGCTCTCAAACTTCAATCTTAAATTATATCACACTTAGTTTTCCTGGAGGATATTTTACTACAAGATTAAGCACTCATCATTGTGTAATACTAGATCTAAAGTAGGTAGTTCCACAACATATTCTCTCAAGAAATGTCATGAAAGCATTTTATAAACTCATCTTTGAGAGTGCCTTGCCAATTTGATTTGTCCAGTCTGAATAAATCATAAAGGCAGCCACAAATATCACGTTGCGATTTTTGCAAAAATTATTCACAGGATGTGGGAGGGTCACTGACTGGGCCAGCATTTATTGCTGAATCCTCATGAACAGCCCTTGACCAAGCAGTGGTGAGCTATTTCTTGAACTGCTGCAGTCATTGGAATGCAGGTATATCCACAGTGCTGTATGGGAGTTCCAGGATTTTGTCTCAGTGACAATGAAAGAACAGCAATAAAGTGCCAAGTCAGGATGGTGTATGGTTTGAAGGGTAACTGGTGATGGTCCTATGCATTTGCTGCCCTAATTTTTAAGGTGGTAGAGGTTGCAGATTTGGAAATTGCTGTCGAAGAAGCCTGAATGTGCTGCTACAGTGCATCTTGCAGATGGTCCACATTGCTGCCTCTGCGCATTGTTGGTGAAGGAGTGAATAGTGAATGTGCTGGATGTCATGTCAATCAAGCAGCCTGTTTAGTTCTGGATGGCATCCATTTTAATGAACCAATGCAGTCCTTGGGGTGTAGGGGCACCCATAGCATTGTTAGGAAAAGAATTTAAGGGTTTTGACTCAGCAACAATGAAATAATGGCGTTATAGTTCTAAGTCAGGATGTGGAGTGGCTTGGAGGAGAACTTATTGTTGGCATTGTTCCCATGTATTTGCTGCCCTTATTGTGCAAGGTGTTAGAGGTCAACAGTTTGGAAAGAGCTGTCAGAAGAGCCTTAATGAAATAATACGTGCATCATGCAGATAGTGCAAACTGCTGCTGCTGTACATCAGCAGTGATGGGAGTAAAGACTGAAGTTGATGGGTGAGGTGCCAATCATGCCAATCAAATGGACTGCTTTGTCCTGGATGGTTCCAAACCTCTTGAATGTGTTGGAGCTGCACTCTTCCAGGCAAGTCGACAGTATCCCATCATGCTCCTGATGCTCCTGACTTGAGCTTTGTAGGTGGAGAATTGGGGAAAAGGAGGTGAGTTAGTCACTGCATATTTCCGAGCCTCTGACCTGCTCTTTTAGCCACAGTATTTATACTGCTGTTCCAGTTCAGTTTCTGGACAACGGTAACACTCAGATAAGGTGGAGATGTCTACGATAGTAATGCCATTAAAAGATTCACTCTTGTTGGAGACGGCCAAGGCTTAGCACGTGTGATGTGAATGTTATTTGTTACTTATTATCCCAAGTATGGATGTTATAAGGTATTGTTACATTTGGTCATGGACTGTTTTCGTATCTGAGGTGTCAAAAGGTGCTGAATATTATGCTGTCATCAGCAAACATCCCCACTTCAGGCCTCACGATGAAGGGAAGATTATTGATGAAGCAGCTGAAGATGATATGGCCAAGAATGCTACCCTAAGGAACTCGGGCAGATATGTCCTTGAGGTGATTTGTGGACTAGCACTTTAAGTCAGTAGCTGCCCTGCCAATTGCCTTGGAAATGGCAGAGAAGGGAAACTGGCACCCCACTTCATGGGCAGGGTCCTGGAGGTCTGGCTGGCCAGGATGTTGCAGATGTGGAATGTTGTCTTTCCTCTGGAGCAGCAGAGAAGGTCATTAACCAGACTATGCCAGCCTGGTCTGAGGTTTGTCTCCAAGTCAGTACAATCTTAGCTGTCCACAAAAATGCATTGTGGATGATCACCACCTTCTCCACTCTGCCAACATAATTATTTTCTCTCCAGTACCACCCACTCACTCTATCTCTGCTACTGAACCCACCTTCCACCAAAGTCGCAAGTATGCCCTTGACATATTGGGCTGGCAACCCCCACCCTAAGGGAATCTTGCTCGACGAAGTACCCTGAAAATAATGACAATCTTCCTGTCTTTGTGCGTGTTATAAATAGCAAGGCAAGGCAGCAGTACTGTGAGCCTGGTATCTCTGGCTAAGGAGCACGTGCAAAATGGCAAGTCCAAGAAGGGGATGCTGTGAGCCTCCAGATCGGCTCAAATTAAGTGAGTGCTATGACAGCAAGCAAACAGGCTGGAGATGCAGTCTGGTCCACTGTCTG